TGAACCAGCCTCCAGATGACATTCGCCGCCCTGAAGACAGATGGAGCTCTGATGTCGTGTTTCACAGGCAGGTTCTTAGAAGCAAATTCCCGTTGGCTGCTCCCATTTTCAAAAGATCTGATGGTCACTCAGTATTGTTGGTGTTTACTTGAAGGTTTTAATCACAAATCCACCTACAAACCCAGTGTGTAGAAGCTAGCAGAATTGTTCTAGTTTAATATTCCTATCTTTACATGAAAGCTATGGCATCAATGAAAAATCCTGTATGCTATCTCAAGTATTCCCAGGCAGCTCTGCAACAGGGTTTGGGTGATTGTGTTTACCCCGCAGTGATGAAACTTTAGACCCGAGGGAACAGAACTGGATTCTGGTGGCACAAAGCCAGGTTCAGGGTCATGCGCTGGTGTTCTCCACTGGGAGCAAGCTCATGGCTGGGTGGAGCAGGGCGAGTCTCCCGGCCAAAGCTCCGGGAAGGCCAGGAGTGGAGGCTGGGGCGGCGAGGGGCCGCACAGAGAGTAGTTTCCGAAGTGAGTCAGGGCGGGTGACCTCTGGGCGGGGAGCCTCGGCCTTCCTTGAGCCGATGCCCTGGTGGGTGACCTGGAGAGCAGCCCCGCGCTCCTGGTTGGGTGCTGTCCAGGCACCCCTGGCCCTGACGGCAGCCCTGCACCACGGCGTAAGAGCGCGCCTCATTTGGTCTCAAGGTCAAAAGCGTCTCCACAGGAAGCCAGAACAGGCAGGCGTGGAGTGTGGGCCTCCAAATCAGGCGCTCCCAGCGTGGTTTCCTCGGGCTTACAGGAAACAAAGCCGGGGAGACATGCTCCTCCAGGGTTGCCCATAGTCACGGCAGCCTGCTTCCCATCCACCCTTCTCTCCCCTTTGGAAGGATTGTTGCTGAAGGGGCCATGCCTCGGACGCCAGCCACCCAACGTTTCTATTTTTGTGGAGAACTAGAAGGCTGCATGCCGGTGCCAGGGATCCCTGGGCCGGCGTCATGCTTGGCACGGGCCCATCTAGCACCTGAGAAACACGACAGACAGTCACGTGGGACTGCGGGGTGGGGTTGTGTGACAGTTAACAGAGCTGAGAAGGCAGCAAGGGCATGAGACACGCGGCTTGCCTAGGGTGGCCTGAGCCCCATGTGCCCTCGTTGCCGAGTGTCACCAAGGTCCTCAGGCCGGCGGGAGGCGGCGTTTCCGTTCCTTGGCCGTCGTGTGTCCTGTCTCACTTGACCACACTCGCGGGGTGGCAGCCCTGGCCTCTGTCGGGGTGCCTCGGACACCGGCTCTCAGCCGCGCCCGTCCCCGGCTGTCAGGGCCTGTGCCTGCCCGCTGCCCGAGCGCCAAGGAGCAGACGGTACCCACCAGCTCTCCAGGGACGGCCTCCACAGACGTTCTGAGCGCCAGGAGTCAGAAAGGCTGCACCCTAAGGGTGGTGGCTGCAGAAGTACAGTCCGTTGGCACCGCGCCGCCCCCCTGCGGGCCGGTCCTCGCCCCTGAGGCAGCCCCCCCCAAGAGCCAGCACGATCTGGGTGCTGGTGGGAACCTCGGGTGGGTGCGGCCACCACCACCTCCCGGGACTAGGGCCAGGCACGCCGCCACGAGGGTCCCCCTCAGGGTGGAGAACGACTCTTATCCTCACAGCGAGAAGCCTCAGAGATAGATGCCTATCAGCCCGGAAGACAGGGCAGCACCCAGCTGGTGACCTGCAGCCTCTCAAAACACTCGCAGCTATGCTCCACGGAGAGACCGGGAGCTGGGGATGCCGCTGACGCCACCCGCGGCATGGCCGGCCTTCCCACACTCCGGGAGGCCCACGTCACAGTCCCCTGCCACACGCTCCTCTTCCTCATCCCCCTGTCCCCCCGCCCCCACTCTGTCGTGCGCACCCCACACACTGCCTTCTGGACTTCACTGCCCCAGCCTTTGGTCCCGGCCTTACCTGGAGTCTGGCTCTTCCTGGGGTGCTCGGTCCTCCCATACAGGCCTTGGGAACCTCGGCTCTGAGGGCAGGGGAGGGAGGGCTCGGAGCGGGTGGCAGACTTTTCCCAGAAAGGATGAGACGGTCAGTATCTCTGCAGGCCAACACAGCCTGTCTCAAGGACTCAGAGCAGGCTTGGCACCAAGTGCCCACGACAGTGGGTGATAGACGTGTGTCCCAAGAGTGCCCCACTTACGGACACGAAGAGGGGAGTCCTCGTGTTTCACCCCTGAAATGATGAAGAAGCCCCTCTTCGCTCGAGGACCCTGCACAAACAGGCCCTTGGGCTTCTGATCTAAACCAGGGCTTCCCAAACGGGAGGATGTCCACGCCACCAAGGACCTTGTGACCGTGCTGACACCAACATGAAGCCCAGGACCTGCGTTCCCAACTCTCCCCGGTGACAGCAGGCCGTGGTGAGGAGCCGGGTCCCGAGCGGGTGGGGCAGCTTCCTGTCTGCAGGGCGAACGCCACACGGCTCCGAGACAGAGAAGGATGCTCTCAAGCTGTGTGCCGGGGGGAAGGTGGGCCGTGGAGGCCTTCAAGTCGCAGGAGACCGCGACACCACTGAGCCAGACGTGTCTCTTGACCGCCCTCAGCCTTTGTTGCTCAACTGTAGTTCAAGATCACGGCCATCTCTGCCTCGGATGTGTGTCTGGAGTTACAAGACAATGCCCGTAAAATCCTTAGCACCAGTGAGCACTCACTCATGGTCTTTGCCCTTTTAAAATAATGAAAAATAAACAATGTATAGACAGACCTGTGTGTAACAAATGAATTCGAGTGCGGACTCTGAGAGCCGGGGTTTTCCCCACACCTTCTCAGAGCACGTCTGCAAGTCACGCCGCTCACCCGTGAAGAAGTGTCTGTTCCTGTCCTGTCGGGTCATGTGTTCAGCCAGACCTGCCAAGACAGCAAAATGCAAGGACGTCTGACCAGGACAGGAATCAAAAGCCCCTGCGGCACAGACAAGCCCTGGTGTGGGACACGGAGGAAGGGCCGTTTTGTACGTTTGATACCATGTGCTTTTAGAAGGATCCTAGTTGCTGTGTGAGTGGGCGGTGGGCAGGTGGGTGGGCTCAGGGACACCGGCCAGGAGGCGCTTCTGGGGTCCAGGCAGGGATGCCGGCAGGCGAGGCCTGGGCGGTGCCTCTGGAAGAGACGGCGGTCTTACGGGCAGACTGGTGCCAGGCATGGTGAGGAAAGCCGTCGGAGGGGACGCCCTGGTGTCTCGCCCTGTTTCTGGTGGAGGACCTTTTGACTGAGGAGGAAGTGAGGGAGAAGCAGGCCGAGGGGGGGGCAGGGCGAGGAGACTGCCCGGGGCGGTGGTGCACCCGGGGGGGCCTTGGAGTGGGTGGGTGGGCGCCGGCCCAGGAAGGAGTGTTTGTGGACACACGTGACATGTGTGCACATGCATTTTTACACGAATACCTACATTCTTACATAAATCTAGGGCTTTGTGGTGACTTTTTCACGCCCTTAAAAATCTTCGAAAGTCCGATTCTGAATGGCTTTGAGGGAGTCCATACTCAGGGAGGCCACCTAGAGGGAGCGTCTGTGCATGTTCTGTTCTCTTGGACGACATTCTTTTTTCCCTTTTATTTTAAAGATGTGAGGTGCATCAGGGTTAGGTTTACAAATGTTCATTATGCAGGTACCCTTGTTGGTAATGTGTGCCCCTCCCTCCCCTGGCAGTTTTCCACTACTGCCAGTCCCTTTCTTATAGTATTACGATAGTTGTTCAAGGTCCGCTTATGAGTGAGAACATGTGGTACTCTGTTCTTTGTCTCTGTGATAGATCACTGAGTAGGATAGACTCCAAATCCATTCAAGTTGCTGCGAAGTCCGTATGTTCGTCCTTCTTTATGGCTGGGTAATATTCCATCGCGTCTATGTTCACATTTTTTAAATCCTGAACTACATTCTTGACGTGGGATTACTGGCCAGTGAGAAAATCTGCAAGGCTGTTATACACGTTGCCAGAGTGCTCAGGGAGGCTCTGCCAGGGCTGCGCGTCCACTAACAGGCAACCGGAGCCAAGACCTTGGCAGTACTTGTGTGTGTGCTATCAATGTGTACACGTGCATGCGTGCGTGCGTGCATGTGTGTGCCTGCACCATGATATGTAGTTTTTCCATTTGCGTGACTTGATTATTGGTGGTAGAGCATGCTATAGTCTGAGGCTTCTCAGGCCAGTCTGGTGTGAGCAGCTTGAACCTGAACCCAACCCTGCTTAGGTCTGAAAAAGACGGGCGTGACCCTCACCTGAGTCCCCCGCTGGGGCAGGGGCTGTGTGGGGGGCGCTGAGCAGCTCTCAAGGGCTGGAGCCGAGGGTCGGCGGCGTGGGTGGGGGGCGCCCATGGCTCACAGCCTGCTCTTCCCAGCCCGCTTCCTGCGGGCCCAGCCTGGGTCAGCGGTCACAGAGGCAGAAGTAGCTGTTCTCACGCAGCTGTGGGCCCAGATGAGGGCTGCAGGGCCACCGCTGCTGGTGAGCCATAGCCCTCGCCCAGGGCCATGACACACGCCGGGCTGCAGGCCAGCCCCCGCGGCGTCCTTCCTGGTGGGGGGGTGGGTCCGCTTTGCAGGCGCGGCCTCCGTACAGGGACCTCAGTCCTCACCCGAGAAGCCACAATGGCAGAGAGGGCATGCCCGAACCCCCGAGCCCCTCTCGGGCCCGCCCAGCGTGAGGGCTCATGCTGGGAGGTGGTGCGAGACCCTCAGGGCGATGCATTGGCGGGAGGGCCCTGCCCAGGCTGAGCCCTGCACCGCCTCCTGAGGGGGCTCGCTCGTGCCAGTGGCCACCTTGGCGCTCAGGGTCACGTGGCCCAAGTGCTTCGCGGGCCCAGAGCATGTGGAGAGCAGGGCACCGGGCCGAGCGCAAAACCTGACGCTCCTCCCTGGCGAGGGTGTCACCGTTCTGCCCCGTGCTCCAGGCCCTCACAAATGGAAACCTCCTCTTCTCCCTCCTCCTTACCACACTCTGCCTGTCCTGGTTTTGAAGCCCAAGAAGCATCCTCCAGGCGATGTCTCCTGTCACCATCGGCATGATGGCTCCTGCCCCTCGAGTCCCAGAGCACCTGAGTCCAGGGGCGCAGCCTGTGCGCGGAGGGCAGCCGGCAGCCGAGAGGTGAGGGTGGAGCCTTGTGGGAGCTACGGCGTTTGTGCCAGGCTCTGCCGTGGTCTGCCCGGGGGCTTAGATGGCTCTCTCCACCTCGCCATCTGTAAAATGAGTTTGCGCGGGGCTAGTGGGTGGTGGGTGAAAGTGTGTGGCGGCCCCGTCCCAGAGCAGGGGTTCCGGACAGAGGTCCGCCCACCCCCAGCCTCTTGACCCAGCTGTCCCAATAGTCCCGTGTGGGAGCCCGCCTCTGAGTCCTGGCTGTCCACAGGCGGGAAATGCCCGCAGGCCAGAGCCGCAGCGATGTCCCTTGCTGTCCTGCAAGCATCCGTCACAATGCCGGGCCGAGGGCAGGTGTTTGTGGCTTGCGGCAGAGGCTGGACAGGGCTGCGGCTGGAAGACGGCCAGCACTCTGGAGTTGGGCACCCACAGTGACCCTCGAAAAGGGGCACGAGCCTTGTGTTCGCAGAGGACGGCCACCATGTAGCACCGTGGAGACACCACACCGACAGACGGGTGGGCCGCAGAGCCTGATCACAGCTGTGGAAGTGTCACCCAGGTGCGCGGTGGGATCACCCTGCACCACAGATTCAGTAGGCACCGCCCTCCACAGGCTGGTCCTGTGGCGTGCGGGGTGTCAGTGTACGGTGGGTGTCACGAGCACGTCAGGGCGGGCCAGAGTGATGGGCTGGCTGGGAACCCATGACCGTCGTGCTGATGTGGACGGCCTCCTCAAGGAAGCAGAGGCCTCACATGCTTCACACAGATGCGCTGGCACCACCGATGTGAGCAAACGACTGCGATTTTGCAATATGTAGAAGGTTTAGGCCAAGGGAGGTGGCTCGGCCCTGGGATCCCAGCACTTTTGGAGGCCGAGGTGGGAGGATCACTTTGAGGCCAGGCGTTTGAGAGCAGCCTTAGAAACATGGAGAGACGCCATCTCTCTTCAAAAAGTTTTTTTAATGTTTTTTTATTTTTTGAGTCAAGGTCACTCTGTTACCCAGACTGGAGTGCAGTGGTGCAATCATGGCTCACCGCAGTCTCAACCTCCTCAGCTTCTGGGCTCAGGTGACTCCCCACCCATTGTCCTGAGTAACTGGGACTGCAGGCACACGCCACCGGCTAATGTTTGAATTTTTTGTAGAGATGAGGTCTCACTGTGTTGCATAGGCTGATCTCGAACTTCTGGGCTCAAGATCCTCCTGCTTAGGCCTCCCAAAGTGCTGGGATGACAGATGTGAGTGACCATGCCCAGTCAAAAAATAAAAAAAGTTTTAATTTTAGCTTCTATTTCCTTTTTGAAAAGACAGTGTGTGCACGTGATCACTCCACAGCTCAAAGGAGTTTAAAACTCCCCCCAGGGCAGGCACCGTGACTGGTGTCTTGCTTGTTCTCCCAGAGACGCCCCGTGTGTGCGGGAGTCCCTCAGCTAGAAGTCACTTGAGGGATCCAGGAGTACTCTCTCGGTCCACCACGTCTACTTGGTTGGTCCCAGATCCCTGGTGGCTAGCCCAGAGGCCAGCCCACATGGTCCCGAATTTGTGGTCAGTAATTATTTGTTGACGGATGGAATACATCTCTTTTAGCCTCATCTCATCACTAGACTGATGAGATCTAGTTTAGTGGTTTTTTAAAAAAATAATTTGCATGCGCTTGATACATCCTTACTGGGAATTAACAAAAGACACACAGTTTGGCATGTCTAGGGAGCAGAGCATCTTAATTATTCGGATGTGTTGGAGCAATGATTTAAATCCACTGAAGTAGAAGCTGCCTGCGGGCATATGCCTCGTGAACGGGAGAGCTCTTGGAGAACACGCGCCACCTGCGCTCACTTGGGTCGCAAGCAGAAGAGGCGGGTAAGACACGCAGGGCACGCATGTGGCTCCCAGAGTCGCTGTCTGGGAGGCTTGTATGCCTCTGGGACCTCTGCGTCCACAGCCCCACGGTGCCACGGCTGTCGTGGCTTCTACTCCTATTGCTGCTGTGACTGTGCCCGCGGTGACTGTGTATTTAGCACATGGTATGTGAACCACGTAAGCACTTCATGTGTGCTGCCACTGGGGTGACCACAGATTTAGTGCACGGTGTGTGCAGTACCACGTATCTCATAAGTGTGGCCAGTACAGTTACCACGTATTTAGCACGTGGTGTATGTGGTGCCGTGTATTTCATGTGTGCTGCTACCACGATGACTGTGATTTTAGGCTTAGTGTGGACGGTACTGTGTAAGGATTTTTTTTTTTGAGTTGGCGTCTCACTCTGTCGCTCAGACTGGAGTACAGTGGCCGCTCCCGGCCACCGCAGACTCGACCTGCTGGGCTCCGGCGATCCTCCCGCCTCAGCCTTCCGAGTAGCCGGAATTACAGGCGCGCGCTACCACGCCCGGCTGAATTTTTGATTTATTGTAGAGATGAGGTCTCGCTGCCCAGGCGGGTCTCGAACCCGTGGGCTCAGGCAATCCCCTCACCTCAGCCTCCCAAAGGCACGGGATTACAGGCTGAGTCACCGAGCCTGGCTTGTGTAAGGATTTAAGATGCACTGTTACCACGGTTAAGGAGAGAGGGAGGAAGGGAAGGAGGAAGGCACTCCGTGCCCGGTGTGTGGTCCCACACGAGCGTTTCATATGCACTGCTCAGCCACGTCGTGTCCAGGACCATGTGAGTATCTCATGTGTGTGGCTTCATTTTCCCTCACAGCAACATCTCCAGGCAGGCCCCACCACCATCTGCGTTTTGTAGACCAGGAGACCGGCGCAGGACGTGTTCATGACTGGCTTCCGCTCTCATGGCTGACTAACGATGGCACAGGCAGCGTGGCCAGCCTGACACCAGGACGCGGACTCCCAATCAGTCATTCCGAGTCACGGCTCATTCCAACCCCAGGTGGAACATTTTAGTGGTCATGCTTCGGCCTGTTTGCCAGAAGTGGCTCACCATGGCTGTTGGTTCTATCAACACTGAGACCCACTTTCAAGAGGAGTGCTGTTTTTTAGCACCGGCGTGGTGGAAGATGGGTGTCAGTCACGGACATGTCACAAAGAGGTCTGTGTGCTCCAAGCGCGTGGACAGCGCCCGAGGGAGCACTTGGGAGAGTGGGCAAGGCCCTGGTGGCGTGCCCGGTACCGGCCTTCAGACACCGCCCTGTGCTTGTGGCCACATCCTGCATTTAACTTGCTCCAGAGAGGAGGATTCGGAGCACTTTTCGCCGAGTCACACCAGGAAAGTCCCAGTGGACTGCGTTTGCGCCTTTGCACTTATCAGTGCCGGGTGCGTCTGAGTTGCACTGAGTGTGTCTCGCCACACCCCCTCCTTCATCAGTCTCTCCATCCACTCTGTCCTCTCCTCACTGCCAGCACCAGGTGCAGAGACCCTCTGAAAGAGAACACCTTCAAGGTCTTTGTCTTTGTTGCCTCTGACAGAGCTCTTGACTGTAGGGCGTCAGTGGTTCCTGAGACACCCACTTTCCTGCCAGTGTCAGAGTTCACCAGTACTTGGGGGCTTACTGCTCACGGGAGGGCAGCCCTTAGGCTGGGCCACAGAAGGCCATGAGGGCCCCTAGCTGTCACTTGGCGGCGGGTAATGCCCCCTGTGGGCCTGGGGGCAGGCTGAGGGGTCTGTGGCCTGTGGCGGGGGCTGGGCCCTGAACCCACAGCTCTAGGACGTCCCACGAGCAGTGCCTAGGAGAGTGGGCTCCAGACTCGGCCCTGAGGCCAGCCGCCCTTCCTACCTCTTCCTGCCCCTGGAGGCTCTCTTCTCTTGGCCCCCAACTGTTCCCCCCCACCTCTGTGGCTTTCGGCACCGCCTTCCAGTGCACCAGGACTTTCTTTGCACCACGGTTTCCTCTAGAGTCTTATTCCTATTTTCTGTCCCTAAATAGAAACAATTCATGCTCTGTACAGAACACAGAAAACACACACACACACACACACACACACACACACACACACGGCACCTCATCCAGAGATAACCATGGCTACTATTTTATTTTGTGAAAATTCTCATGGCCCTTTCTCCCACGCGGGTGTGGAGTGCTTTTTTTTTTTTTTTTTTTTTT